TGGAGCGCCCTGATGCAAGGCCACGTCAGCCTCGGCCTCTGCAAGGAAGAAACTGTTCCAATCCAACAGTGAACCTTTCTGTAACGCCATATGGATACCTGGAACTCATTTGACCTCTGTGTTGATAGGAACACACCAAATTTTGGGTGGTTGGTGGGCCAAAATAGAGTACTTCAGGTTCCAGGTATATAGATACCTATCATTAGATGTACATATACCCTGGGATTCCAACAGCCATTCTTTTTGTGGCCTTTCCCAAACATCCAGTGTTTTACTATAAGGATTCTGGACTACAAAATCAAGTCAACCATTCTTTTAATTGTCTTTGAAGGCGCACGGGTATATTGCATAAACATAAAGACTCTTTAACTGCTCTAGATTTACTGTACATATATGTGAACAATATGTACATAATGATTTTCTGTAGATTTAGATTCTAAGTCCAGCAAAGATCTTAATCAAAGGTCTTGCATCTTCCTGGAGCCTCAAAGTACCTCAGAAAACGGGTACAATACGGTACAATTATATTAGTATACAGTATACATGTTGTTTTTTGTATCATAGGGTCATGTCACTGGTCATGTCCCATTTAAATGTCCTAAGGTCATTACGAACCTATAACGAACGGTCAGCCGTGTCCAGGTTCTCATCTCCTCATCTTCTCGCCCGGGCCTCGCGGCCACGCAACTGGCGCAAGGACAACGCGCACCTCGAAGCGAAAGGCAGATCGGTGAAGCAAACAGATCCATGCACGGCTTGACCGACTTGGATTGTGCTTCCGAACCCCAGGAACATGCGACATTGCATTGGATTCACCTCAATGGGGCAAATACACTCTCCCGATCAAAGCCAGGGACCTCGGCGAGTTTCAGTGGCCCCTGCTTAGGTATTTCTGGGAGCTTAAACATTTCAAGCATGGTTCGACTAAATGACTCGAGTCCAGGAATTTCCTGACACCTTGGGTGGTGCCAATCATCAAACTGGACTCTTCAGAGCCTTACCTTCGGGATCATTGATTGGTGGTTTCAACTCACTTGAAAACTACTACAGTATATAGTCAGTTGAAACCATCACCTAGCATATGATAGGCCCAAGTGCCAAGCTACCAGTAAAAGATAGTGAAAGCCATATTGCTGGAAGCCCAACTTGGACGACCGACTAAGCAAAACAAATATCCGGCCTTTGCCTTTCCAAAAAAGAATTGTTGGATGGGCTCCGGGAAGAAAACCATCAAGAGATCAATGATTGCAAAAACAGGTGGGTCAACAGGTAAAGAAAAACTCTCCAAAAGTTTGCAATCCCCATCAAGAAAGAACTGCATCTCTCATCTGAGCGTCTCCTCTCCGTCTGCGGGGCCGCAAACATCCTCTGGCAACTCCTCCGCAAAGGCCAGCACCTCAAGAGCTGCAGCTGATCTGAGTTGGATGGCCCAGTGCAACTGCTTTCTGCTTTCGCTAGTAGCCAGGTAGGGAAATGGGCCGAAGCCTGTCCCAGGCAGCCCCTGTCCCACACCAACCGAACCTAGATTAGGTGAAGCATCGATCCACACAGAATCGATTCCATGTGGGATCCACAGAATCCATGTCCATCAACTGCATACCATGCGGTGCCTAAATCCATTATAGCTATATAATATATATATAGACTATATATATATATACAGCCTTAATTGTGGGGTCACTAGTGACACTAGTGGGTTCCAGAGGAAACCAGGTCCCAATTTCAACAAAACCACCCGAACTTCTTCCCAAGATCCCTCAAAAACAAGCATGCGTGCTTCCGCCATCGCCCGCAATCATGAACGCGTCTTGTGGGGCCAAGTGGCAAAAGCCAAAGTGATGATGAATGATCGGAGCATCGCGTATTACGCAAAGAAATGCTGACAATGGAAGCAATAGTTGTGGCTTGAGCAGCTGCGCTGCGGGAGTACATGAGACAAACGTTGAGACAACCGATGACAATGATTCAATGAAACCCAGACACTCCAGGTATGCCAATATCGTATTTGCCTACATTGGGATGGTTTGGGGGGTCAATGTCGGCACATATGGGAGTCCCATGGGTCGTGTCTGGGAAAGGTTGAGGATCGATCGTCAATGGTCGTGCCGTCGATCGTTGCCGGCCAACAATGGTTGTTGCCTACTGTCAACAGGCTGAAATCTGATTGGTGTTCTTCCTGCTTAGGACATCTACAGCAAAGTAGATGGCACGAACCTCAAGATGAGCTTTAGATGGGGGTTTATATAAACCACCTTGCAGGGATTGTGCCATCTGCTCTCATTCCACATCATTCCACTATCTTCCATGTTGGATGTTGATGGTGAGGGTGTTGGTGTTTGCACAACGCTTCCGACGCCGATGAACTGTCAGGGTGAAGACATGGATGCCTGCCATCACCGTTGACAAGTTGAACATCAGGGGGGTTCGATGATCTATAGATGTTGACATATGACATAAATCAGAAATCTAATACCTGGACCCTCCAGTCCAAGGGGTGTCCTGGCTGGACTACCCCACACTACCGGCCTAGGCTTCCATTGGGCACCCCTCGGAGGGTCCTGGTATATGGTTAGTTGGTTTGCCATGCATTTTGGGTTCTCTGGCCAGGCCCACGGTCCATCTCTTCGACCCCTCCAGCTGCTTCGACCCTCCGGATGGTTGGTCCGCGCGGATGCTGCGTCCGGATCTGCAGCAGAAACACCGTCCATCCAGCAGTCACAAAGGGGTGCCTATTGGAGGTTAGGGGTGCCCATGATCGACTCACTTAGGGGCTAAACACCACCCTTTGGTGACTCCTGGATGTCATTTCTCAACGTGGCAGGCCTGCTACTTCATGACCTCTTCTGTGAGCTGCTGGAGCACGCGGATCAAGGCCTGGCTGAGGACTGGCAGCCAGGTCAGTGGCAGAGTGGCACTCGTGCCACCCCACTCGAGAGTGGGGCGTGACCAGTCGTTTCCTGCACAACTGGGAAATCCTTCTCAGCCTTTCGTGGAATACAAAAACACCTCCAAAAGAAGAATAATGAAAGAATCCAGAAGATGTGTGAACTGAACATGACTCCAGCGTTCAGCCAGTTCAGTACCCCATTTCTCCGAACCTTCATAGGGATTTCACCTGGGATCTCCTAGGATGTCGTTCTTTTTTGGGGGGGTCCCGTTCGGTGTACGGCACGCACGTTCGGCTGCGCCTCGGAGGACATCTCCACGAGCAGTGCCTCACCGGCCGCGAGGCCGACCGGTCCGGTCGAGGACCGCCGGTCCGGTGGACGACTTGGTCGCCCCAAAAAACTGGGTCCTGTCGGGGCGAAGCCGGGTCCTGGTCTAGACGTCTGGACAAGACGTTAGACCGTTAATTGGTGGTTTGGGGCGAACTGAGCTGCAGGCGACTTCTTAGTAGAGGTGAAATCACCTGACCAGACTTCTTAGTGGAATTGCAGGATTCAGGAGGTTGATTTAGACACCTTTGACATGTTCGGTCCAACTTAATGAATGGCCAGGAATCCTGCTGGTGAGTCTACTCTTTCACAGTGGGCAAGACCGAACAGCTTTGAGCCGTTTCAAAGAGGTTTCCAGGAGGTGATCTATATACTTGTCCTGAGTCAGGTCGGGATGAACCGGATCAGCTTCCTCACCGATCCCCAGCAAAAAAGGCCCGAAAAAGGACGTAAGCAAAGCCTATAGCAACTAGCAGCTTCCTCAGGGGGGTGGAGGGATGTGGTGGTGGATAGGGCCCTGATCTACATTTAAAGCAAACTGGACGAAGAGGTCTCATCTCATTAACTCCTCTCATCCTGGATCGTACTGCTCCGCCTGGATCTTACTGCTCCGCGAGGCTTCAAAGCGCTTCAATCGGACCTGAAACACAGCAGATCCTTTTCGGCGAACGTGACCAGGTCGGGACGGTGCACAAAATGTCTTCAAGGCATACGGGGTAAGGTTGCAGATTCGTTGTATTGTAGCCATGGTCGCGGTAGGCAAACCAACCCCGGAAACTGACGAATCCCTATACCACACCCCAAAGTTACTGTTTCAGAAAGTTTCACTCAGGATATGAGAAACCAACAGCATTGAAATCCGGTGGCCACTCTAGGTTGGAGAGGACCGCTTTGCCAAAGATAGAGCTTTGCATGGGCAAAATCATAAAACATATAATCTCAAGGTGCTTACCATGTCTTGGAGGAAACTGAAAGAAATCCAGACCATTTCTCACAGCCCATAGTTTTGCCTTTGGCATCGGCTTCTCCACTATAAGCTATACAGCGCCAGTGTCTGCCTTGTTGATCCAACCAAAAAAACACACTCTTCTTCCCTTGCCCCCACAAAAGAATACAGGATCGAGGAACCAAAGGCGTAACCTCATGAGAACCTCCTTGGTGGCCATGGAAAATGCATCTTTGAGCACCGTCACCTCACCTCAAATGACTCTCCCTTCCCTCCGATTCCGCGCCTGCGGCGTGAAGCTCTTCTCGGCCTTGGAAGCTGTATCTCTCAGCCGAGGGCCGAGAGGAGCTCTTCCCAGCGCCATGTAAAGCTATCCAACCATAGGGCATTTGAATCGTACTTGAGATACAAATGGAGCCGGGCAATTCCCAAGACCATCTAGGCATGCAATTTTGCATGATTATTATATACTAACATATGGAAGTGGAGACCCCTCTCAACCACCCCGTTCGGATTGCAAAAGCTCTTCGTGTGTGGAGTGTCATTAATCTAAAGAGTTTACATATGTTTACATGACCCTCCCACAGGGTCACGGATCCAAATCCCAAGAAGCCTCATACCAGCACCTTCCAACAGGTCTCCGATGGCTGGAGGCTTGGGAAGGGCCCTAACAGCTGCTGTCAATTGGTGACCTGTTGGCCGTCGGTGCTGGTATATCTCCTCATCTCTTTCCCTAGCATAGCCCAGACACTCCATGTATGCCATATATGCCTACATTGGGGTGGTTTTGGGGGTCAATGTAGGCATATATGGCATACATGGAGTGTTTGGGTAGGGTTGTTGAAACTCATGTGCACTCCCATGGTCGCTCCGATGATCTCCGATGGGAGCTCCCTTCGGCTCCGAAAAGGCTCCGAAGTGCTCCCGAGCTCCCGAGCAAGTCACCGGCCTGGTCCATTGTGATCTGTTTCTTTGATTGGGGGCGGCCCGCTTGGCCAAGTGCGTCTCATCGTGCTTCAAGTGACTTTGGCTGGTTGCCAAAGTGCTGGTTGCCCAGGCAAGTTGCAGGTCCTTTTCTCAGGAGTCACTTACCCAACCTCTCTGCACACTCGACCGCCGGCTGTCCTTTTGACCGCGCGCTCCGTTCTGCCACGCCGTCGGAGCCCGGCGCCCAGAAGTGCCACTCAGAGCCCCTGAGCGTCGAAAGGCGCCGGTTTCACGATCGACGTCGGGGTCCTGGAAATCGGTTGAAAACGAGGTCGGAAAGTCCTGGAGGACGGAAAAGTGGACCAAATTCCCCAGACCAGAGAACGTATGGAAATAGTTAGTACCATGTTATACCAGGACCCACCAAGGGGCGCCCTGTCTGGAAGCCGAACGGCCGGTAGTGTGGGGTAGTCCAGCCAGGACACCCCGACAGGAGGGTCCAGGTACATACATTTACCCCATTGATGTCCCCATCCATGTAGGAATGGTCTAGGATTCTTCCATTTCCCATCTCTTCTTGTGGATGTGGGGCTTACCTCCTCCCAATCCCCCACACTGTTGGTTTGATGGCCTGGGGTCTGCTTCTTCTGTCCCCTGCCCTGAGTTACAAACAGCATCACACAGCAGTGTTTGAGATCGGACGGGCTTCAAAAGGCAGCTGGGAGAAAGTTTTAAAAGACACGGAACCGCCCAAGGTTCCAAAATGCACTTACTTGGAAAACATCAGACCCCTTTTTGGGGCTCCAGTTCGTATCTCCTCAGGTCTTAGGAGGGAACCCTTAAAGGTGCCAAAGAGCTCTGAAACGGAGCTAGTTGGAGACCAAATCTGACGTTTCAATCTCCCAAATGCTCTTTCAGTACATCCGCATACATCAGTCCAGTGGGTCATGTTCTACATCCATGTTTTGCTGCCGTGTCACCAGCACGTACATTGCAAGGACCGCGACGAAAGCAGCAACACCAGCGCTGGGACCAGCGGCGCTCTTGAGGGACCACGAGGGGCTTGGGTAAACCATGAGGTTCATCTCGGAACCTGGGCGTGTGGCTCAGCAGCATGGTGGGCCAGTGTGTTGAAGCCTCTTTGCTTCGCAGGCGAAGAAGAAAGAAGAAGAAGCAGGACATGCCATGTATATGTCATGTCGCACCTCCACTACTTCAGATGCTCATAGTTGGGAGCCCAAACTGCATCCAATGTATCAAGGGAATCCTATGGAATTCTGCATGCACTGCATGCCTACTGTAACTCTCTGCCTAGCAGCCTAGCTTAAGCGTCTCTTTTTTCTCGTGGCATCGTTCGTTTGGTGAGGTCAATCAGGCTGTGGTGAGCATCATTTACGACAAGGCCTTCAACTATATCATCTGGCTCCTGGCCCATGAGTCCTCAGGTGAACCCCCTGGCACCCACCCCTGGCCCACCGAACCTCAGGAGGTGGTTCAGGAGCCCTTGAGAGGTGGGTCTTGGCACCCGTCGGACCCGGGCGTCTTCGGCCCTTGGACCAGGGCGCCCTTGCCAGCCAATCCAGCGCCCGTGCGCAGGACCACGTAGCCTCGGTGCTCGAAGCAGCACGCCGCTCCACGCCCAGGAGTCATCATGGAAGAGTGAAGACATGTGAAAAACCACATGCTGCGAAAGGAAAGGGGGTCACCCAAAATTCGGGGCCACGCCATCACTTTCCATCACTTTCCATGATGATGTCGGGGAACAGATCAATGGCAGGTGTAGGTCCGGCCACCCCAATCACGGGCTGGCATGCGTTGGTCGGGTGCGAGAGTCGTTCATTCTTCTGGAGCGCAGCCGGGGGGGCCCAAAACTTCGTGAGGAAACATGTGGGAAATCGTTGGAAAGAGAAGCAAAAAAAATCTTCAGCCTGGGATCCCATTTTTGGAGGATTCGCCATCGAAGCGACACCGCTCCCGGTTCTGTCCACGGGTCCTTCTTGCTTCACCTCAGGGCTTTCTCTTAACCAAACACGATACTGGGACTGGCATATCTACCGACACCGACCATATTCCATATACCAGCCTGGAACCCATTTGACCTCAGTTTTGATAGGATAAGCAAACCATATTTTTGGATCAAAAATAGAGCTCATTCAGGTTCCAGGAATATATCCAAGGTCTTCCAAATGATGCAACACGTCTGCCGAACTGGGCTGTAAATTATCCCTAGGGCTCCAACCATATCCTCAGAAGGTGGTTGGGGGCCCTAGGGTATATACAAATCAAATGGAAGATCTAATTTGAGCGCTTGGACGTTGATTGGAAAGCGGCCGCAAACAGAGTCGCTACCGCGGCTATTGAACAGCTCCGATTGAGTCGAAGCGTAAGTGGATAAGGAGACAAAGCATGTGCTCAGCATGTGCCTGAAAGATTGCAAGAGATTGGCAGGGTTTGAACTTTGCAGTGGATCACACTGTGGATCACCATGGATCATTCCATTGTTGATCAACAGCCTCTCTCTCTCCCCTGTTTAGGGGCCCCATTTGCAGCCAGAATCGCAGCCAGGGGAAATGTTGGGGAAATGCATTCTGGGTCACTCCCAGGGCCGTGAACTTGCTGCCTCTTCAGCCATGGGACCCATGACACTCTGGCATCTTGACCGCCCCTTCCACGGGTGCCAAAGGGGTCTGCTTGGGATGGCAGTCCTAGTCCCATGGAGCGTTTGGGGAAACAAATCGATCCAAATCGGTCTGGGTGTTCCCTGCCCCACTGCGATTCGCGGCCGGTCCGGGAGATCTGAGGCGAACGAACGAGCGATGCTGCGGTTCTGCGAAGAAAGGGCAGCTCTGCTCTCAGAGTGGTCTGCGAAAATGGCTGGCGACTGACTTCAAAGTGGCAGGTGGTGACTTGGCAGTGAAGATTCTGGTAAAGCAGTTTGGGGGGCGCTGACTCGAAGCAGCTGTGTGGACAGACTCGCCGCTCTGGAGGGTTCGGCCGTTCGGCCGAGCCGCTCTCTCCGGGCATGGCCTGCAGGGGTAGCTGCAGCCGCGACTCCGCCGAGCCATCGCTCAGGATCACCTGGCGACCGGTGCCGGGTCGACCTCGGTGGGGAGAACGGTTGGCCTTTTAAGAGAACAGAACACAACAACGCGTTGTTGAACCACACGTTGTACGGACGCACAACAAAATATAACAGTGCGTGTGTAGACCTAGAAACCCTTAGATTCTGATGTTAGTTCTGATGTTATACCGCAATATATGTACTTTTGGGGTGGTTAGTGGGATTGTCTGTCATATGATTGAATTAAGATCTCCCGCAAGTTAGACATTCGGACCAATTCAAGATGGTCCAGATTGAATGCTTTCTTTTACATTTGGAGTGACTTGGGGGCAAAAGTCGCTCGTGCACTGATCCTTTCATCCATTGATGTTCCTAGGTTCACAACAATACTACCTTTATAAGCGCCTTGGGGAGTTCAATAATGTCCTTTTAGCATCGACTAAGAGAAATAGATTATTAGCGTTTACAATGTACAACAACCTTTAAACAAACAACACTGGATTGAACTACTTCTGGCTGTTCTATTTGGTGGTTGGTTCATTTCCATGCGGCATCGCGGGAAGCAGCACAACCCTTCTGCGCCTGGTAATTGCCCTCCGCAAGGCCAAAGGCGGTGCCAAAGGGCATGACGGTGTAGCCAGGGGCTGGCAAGTGAAATAAATGCATGACAAGGGCTAGTTGCTCATAGCCCAGCTATTCTGCCAAACAGTTTTAACATGCATCATGTATTAAGCTTTTGATAGTGGTTGCCTTTATGTGGTAAACGTTACCGGTCATCTTCAACAAAACAAAGTCGATCAAACAGAACAGATCGACTTCAAAGCCAAAGTAGTATGGTTCTTGGATGGTAAAGCACATGGTGAGGGAGGGACCACATAGCGCGACTTCGATCTCATGTCCAGCTGTCGTCTTGACGGTGATTGAGAGAGGTCGGTCGCAGCTTGGACTCTTCTACCCTTGGGGAGGTCCTTACAGGTGATCCACTCAATTCCTGGGTATGTACCGAACAAACTGGACATTTGGGTTGGATTGCACCTTAGGATGTCAGATATCAACTCGCAGCATGCAATTCCTCCAGTACCGAGAATCGCCGGTACTCCCTCCTGTCATGCTTCAACACAAGCCCTAGGAATCCTTGTCTTTGAGAAGGTCATGTTTTCTGTCACGCCAAGTTCAAGAGAGTCCGCTCAATGCACTTCAAGAGGTCACCGAAACACACTCGCCCATGAGACACGCAGTTTCTGCGGCCCAGAGGCTGGAATTGGTTTCAGCTCCTGACAAGAACACCAGGTTATTCCCTTTCACAAGACTTTTTCTACAGGACAAATTCCAATCGACATACCATGGCATGCCTCTAGTTGTTATGCAAAACAACTCGAAGGTTGTCCCGGCGATCTTCCTGTAGTGACAAATAACAATCACCATTTTGAGGAGCTCTCAAAGGGAGTCTCTTCGGAGAAAAATGGTCCGAAACCCACTGTCCCTTGAGTAGTGTTCGCTGTGCGGCCCAAACACACGTGCAAGAAACAAGCACTTGCAAATCTCAGGTGTTGCACTGGGTGTGTCCAGGCCAGTAAGTCAAAGACTAGCGGTGAGTATGTTCATGACAGGCGACAGGTCCAATCCAATAAACAGCTTCACAGTATGTACTGGTTGCCATAAGTGGTTGCAGGCTCAACCACTTCAATCTAATTCTGAAATGACCCAGTTCTATCCCCCACTCAATCTGGGTGACGGGGTGGCATTTGGGATTGTCACCATGTGCTTTCTACCAAAGGTTGGGCCCCACAGCCCGCCTGTGTTCCGTGCTTTCTACTACTTCAACTACGCATCCCCATACACTCCATGGGACTGCCATAGGACTGCCGATCAATTGACCCCCCAAACCACCCCAACTGATCGGCATATATACATGGAGTGTCTGGGATCATTGAGACATGCAACACTAGACATGCACCCCCAGCAGTGGAGGTGCGACCGCACACGCGAAGAAAAACACATCGGCCCGACGGCTGTGTGGCTTGCTGCGAAGTCGTTTGGTCAAAAGGGGGTGCGGCCCTGTATACCAAACGACTGCTTGACCAAACACCACAGGAACAGTTCCTAGTTCCTAGGTGGTTGCCCTGTATACAACATCGACAAACTGAATACAACTGTTCCTGGGACCTTGATTTGCGGATGACACCTTTTAAGGTCCCTTTACAATCTGGGTAACCGCTGATACAGGAGATACACCTATAGATGGTCCTGGACCATGTGTTCCAAACCAACCAGAACCATGCCAAGGGATCATTTCTGCCGAGGGCTACCCTCGAATTTCTCACCAGCAGAATAGCAGAATGTTGACCAGGGTCCAACTCAAGCGGACTGGGCATGCGTTTGGCAAAACAATAATTTGTGTGAGCATTCCCCCAAGCCAACTGTCATTTGGACTTATATAGCTGCACATATCTGTGCACCATGGATCCACCTCCCTCTTTATGAAGGTGTGCACAATTTTTTGTAGGTGCCAGGAGGGTCCAGTCGTACCTTCTGAGAAAGTGTGGACGGTGTGGATGCCTAGGCAAGAATCGAGCACATAGATTTGGTGCGAAAGCCCAAGTGATGGAAGGCCGGAAGTGTATAAGAGGGCTCGATGAGGGGTTATTACGATTAAAATAGATTGTTTTTTGATCTAAGGCTACGTCCACTCACATAATATAATGGAGCCCATAGACTTCTTCGTGTATCAAGGCTCTAGCTTGCACCACTTGGGTGCGTCCAACCCCGCCGCGCGTCCGTCCTGTAGAATTGGACATCAGCAAGGCTGCCTTGGCTTGCCCCACATAAGTGTCCATCACGGCCACTTGCGCGTTCCTGCAGTCACGACGACCGCGCACCGCGGCGGCCCCCCGCGTCTGCGGGGAGAAAAACTCAACAGTGGTTTCAAGTAGATGGCACAATGGCCAATAGAAGATGGTTTCAAGTAGATACATTGATATCCTATCCTATTATTATAATGGAAGGTACAATTCCAGTGCAGGGCGTCCTGCTCCTGATTTTATAGATATAAAATGGAGTGATGGACCCCCAGGAAGCCATACAATGACTGAGACCTCTATAAAATCAAGCGTGTTGACCAATATTAAAACTCTATATTTTGAGAAGACTTGACCCCTCTGAAACAAAATGTTAAATCAAAAAAATCAACGCACTCACCCCCCAAAAAATATATTTCAAAAACATATATACATGTTTATCATCAAAAAATCATAAACATGTTCAGATACTTTATCCGACAGATCTTGGTCTCGGCATCGAACATCGGCTTGCTAGGAAAAGACAGGATGTCCATCTCAAGCAGCCGGGACATTTGTTGCTGAATCATGCGGGTACCTTTGGATGATCTGGTGTAATTGGAGGCCTTGTTCTCGAGCGGCTGCACCAATGGGGTAGAAGGAGGCGCTTTGATGATGGCCACCTTCTTTGCCACCGCAACGGATGACTTCTTCTCGATGGGCTTCTTCTTCCCAGCAGCTTTCCATCGAGCTGCTGTTCTGAAGCACCTTATCTGTTTCTTCTGGCGCTTAGGCTCTGCTTGGATCCCTCGAGAATGGAAGCCTGAACGCCAGTCTGCAGCCACCCGCTTACATATTACAAAACACAAAGCACACACACACACACTCTGACATTGGTTTGCTGTTAACTCAGTTCCCAAGTCCAAGAAAGGTGGTGGAACAGAGAGGTGAAGGGTCCAAGCATGTGTAAGTGTTTGAACAAAGTCTAACAAAGTGGTTTCACACTTGACTGCGGAAGCTAGTTACTGCATTAGCCCTTTACTGCAAGAACGGTAAGGTGCAAGGGTCCGAAGAACAGAACTGTTTAACAAACGCACTAGCACTTTGCCAAAGCTAAGGAAACGTGTTTTGGAGGATATCATGCGAACAACCACCATGGAAACAACAAAAGGAAAAGTGGAGTCACAGCGTGTGCAAAAGTTTTCATCCGCGCAGGTACAGAAGTTTGCGCCCAAACTTCCATCCAGTCGATTTCCCTAGCTTCGTTGGCGTGACTAGGAAATCGACCGTCACGCCCCCTGCGACTTAAAAGTTGAGAAAACCAGAAACTGTTAGTTACAGAGGTGGACACACACAGAACGCCGATATCGGTGCTCTGGGGTAACTTATTAATCAGCTAAAAAGCCTTAGAACGAAAGGAACATGCAAAGGAAAGAGAGAGATAGGTGTAGTGACAAGGCCCACTAGTTACGAAACCTGCTAGTTACTGACTACTTAGCCGCATGAATTAAATGCACTAGTTAGCGAGCGGGACATCCGTCTTAAACCGCCCGGGTAGCTAGGAGTAGAAAAGGCGAAACAGAAGGAAAGGTACCGACACACAAGTGTGTCAAGTACCATTTCCTTCTGTTACCCTAGATAGCGGGTGGGATAGAAACACGAATTAGGTTGCAAGGTGGGGGGGGTGTGGAAGTGCAAGTGTGGACAGACACAAGGAACCGTAACGTGTCCGATCTCAAAGTGGTCGTGGTTGGAAAAGTGAGACAGTACATATTGAAAGTGAAATCAAGCTGCAAACATGAACGTGAGTCCGATCAAAGAGAGTGGAATTGCCGTGAAGCCCGGCGGCATAAGTTGCTGCCTTTGCTCTCTTGCAAACTCCTGGGTACTCAGCACCTGCAGGGAATGCAGTGGTGAAACCAAATCCGTTAAGAGAAGCCAAGGTCTGGTGGAGACGGTCGAAGCAGTTGCACGAGTTCCGGAATGAAAACGGCACCTCCTTGCTGAGGATCACACGAGCGAGTCACACTCTGACATTGGTTTGCTGTCAACTCAGTTCCCAAGTCCAAGAAAGGTGGTGGTAGAGAAAGGCGAAGGGTCCAAGCATTTGTAGGTGTTTGAACAAAGTGGTTTCACACTTGACTGCGGAAGCTAGTTACTGCATTAGCCCTTCACTGCAAGAACGGTAAGGTGCAAGGGTCCGAAGAACAGAACTGTTTAACAAGCGCACTAGCACTTTGCCAAAGCTAAGGAAACCTGTTTTGGAGGATATCATGCGAACAACCACCATGGAAACAACAAAAGGAAAAGTGGAGTCACAGCGTGTGCAAAAGTTTTCATCCGCGCAGGTACAGAAGTTTGCGTCCAAACTTCCATCCAGTCGATTTCCGTAGCTTCGTTGGCGTGACTAATTAGGAAATCGACCGTCACGCCCCCTGCGACTTAAAAGTTGAGAAAACCAGAAACTCTTAGTTGCAGAGGTGGACACACACACACACACCCCTTTGGGAGCTGGCGCCTACTCTCACTCCGGCACGGGAAGTTCTGGCCACTCTGCGTAGACCCAGCCCACCTGTGACCAATGAGAAGCACAGAACACCACCTGGACCTTCAACCCTATTTGGACTCCCTCCGATCCTTTTCGCAGGGTAGGACTGCGGTGGGTTCGGGGGACCCAACGGTGCGCTGGCCCCTTCGGGTGCGTTCGGTGCGCTCCGTCCAGCTGGCCGGGCCCTTTGGTGCGTTCGAAGCCTGCGGTGTTTGGTCGACGTCACCGTCCGGGTCTGCCTGGCCATGGCGAAGAGGTGCGATTGGAAGGTCACGGAATCAGTACCTCAGCGGCGGCGTCAGCGGCGTGGCGTGTACCAGGACCATCCTGGGACCCGGTGTCCTGGCTGGACTATCCCCCCCAACTGATCTGCAAACAGGACACCCAAACAGGATGGTATCGATGGGTGCGCATATGTTCATTGGGAGACCCTCGATTGCCGTGGCTGGGTAGACTGGTCAAACTATTCCACACCTTGGAGGGGGTCGTTTTGCTTGGCAGGTCTCTATCTTCATAGATCTTAATAGACATCGATGTGGATCCACTTGGCTGTGGGTCCAAATGCGGAGCCCCAGCCAAGCGGGTCCCTCCTCTAGGTCATCTATTGTGCTCATGTTCAGTGAGAGAGCCAAGCAAGGTTCCCCCGGTTGAACGACCCATTGCAAGTTGCTGTTGTCGACTGCGCCGCTCGCTGTTGTCGACTGCCCAGTAGATGACTCGGAAACCGCTTCAACCGCTTCATGCTCCTGGTTCGTCGCTTTTAACCCTTTGATCACCTGGTTGGCTCGGTCACAAACCGGCCGCCAAAACGATCACTTCATACCAGGACCCTCCGACAACGCGGGGTGTCCTGGGCTGGACTACCCCCACACTAGGCTAGGCCGTTCGGCTTCCAAACAGGGCACCGGTCCTGGGATGTCCTGGGTCCCTAGGGACTCCCAAGTTTGGTCACGAACTGTTCAGAAGCTGGTTTTCATATCCCAGACACGACCCATGGGATTGCCATATATGCCGATCAGGCCAGGGGTGGTTTGAGGGGTCAATGTAGGCATATATGGCATACATGGAGTGTTTGGGTATGAAAGAATCCGATGGGAAAGAAGCTGATTCAACTGTCAGAAGCTGGGTTTTCCATGTCGGAGTCTGGACTACCTGATGCCGCGAATGGGAAAGAACCACCGCTTCAGGGGCGACCCCCAAGGTGGATCAAGCGAATTGAGACCAGGTGGACGACTTGGTGTGGGATACTTTTGGGATGTTGAGTTTGATGTGGGCATACTGCATACTCCATTGTGGGATTCATCTAAAGATCATCTGCAGCTTGAGAATGGAACAGCAACTACATAATGATGCTTCAGAATGATGCTTCAGAAAGGTCTGTAGGACCTTGGTGGAGTGATTGTAGATTACAGTGGGCCCCCCAAATAAGTAGAAACGGTTTCCATTCATTCTTAGAGGGGCCTGCTTTACTCTTTGCGGGTCGGGCGCCCAAAACAAACCATCTGGAAGTGCAACATCGCCGTGACCCAAAGCAGGTGTCCAAACTCTGGAGACAGCCTCACTGCGAACTCTTGGCGCTGAGAGTAGGGCTGTGTCTTGCCCTATAAGGGCGTTGATATCTTCCTACCACCCCACGGGGATCCTTAAGCCTTAGGGATCCCGCATACCTTCCCAAAAAAGCAATCAGTACTTGGACCCAACCCAGGCACCAGAAAAACAAAAGAGTGTCCCAGTGTCCGTGCTCATCTTCACAAAGGGTGGCAGTGGATCCATAGGGTCCCACTGCAAATCACATGAAACTGTCCATTCCAAGGGATGTGATTCACCGGATCCCACGGATTCACCCTCTTTCTGGTGATCTGGGACCTTCTGTTGACTTCGCCAGGTCCAGGGTCAGTAAGTTTGGATCCGTGGATCGGCTGGGCTCAACAAGCACCGCCGAGTCGAGTTCGAGCGCTGCGGCTCAAGGGGCGGGCGTCCTGGCGCTGGACCTCGGGGCGTGGAGGATGGGACTGGTCCATGGAACTGGGAAGTGTCACTAATCCCTAATTCATCCCTTGAAATGGACAAGCAGTGAAAAGAATCTGAATTAATCTTTTAATACACTCAAAGGCCCATGAGAGCAAACCTTGAGATCCGTCAGATCCGCAAAAAGGGTTCGGGAACTGCAGGACTTGGGGACGCCTGGTTTCGCCGTGCCACATGGGTCGGAGGAGTCTCCGTGCCTTGCCACTGAGATCAATGGCCGAACGTGGTCCATCAAATGGGTGGCAAACGATGAAGTCTTTTGAACATGACTGGCAAGATTGTTTCTATAGAATGCAATATCAGATCCAGCAATAGTAAAAAGCACTTGAAGCATGGATGAGTGGAGCCCCTATCAAATGATAGGACCAGATCAAACAAACACGCAGGAGATCTCTACAAAATGAAATCAAGTTGTCGAGGACTAAAGTACAGTAAGTCGAATATCTGAATAACATATTCTATCAGCTATCAACTACAAAACCCGAACAAAATGAATCAAGGTACAACAAATAACCAGGCAAGAGACCCCAAAAAGTGTGTCTAAAGTTCTAAGGTCTACAGGTCTAGAATGGTCTAGAAGCAAAAGGTCTAGAGATCTAAACGTATTGGGCTCCAAAAAGAGGTGATGATGATGGTAATGGTGATGGTGATGATGATGATGATGATGATGATGATGATGATGATGTTGGTGGTGCTTGTGGTGATTGTGGTGATGGTGGTGGCGATGGGGTGATTGTGGTGGTGGTGGTGGTGGTGGTGGCGGCGGCGGCGGTGGTGCTGGTGCTGGTGCTGGTGTTGTTGTTGTTGTTGCTGCTGTTGCTGGTGGTGATGGTGGTGGTGGCGGTGGTGGTGATGAGGTTCACAAACCAGGTTGAGAATGGTTTTGAACTGAAGGCTAGGGCTGGAGGTCTAGAGAGCACTCATGTGAACACGTGAGAGCGCGTGTTCATGGGAGCACATATGCAAGAGCCACCCCTTGGGTGGTCAATCCTCCCAGCCCTTGGAGGTCAATCGGGACTGAGAACTCAACCGTGATTCCTGCCAGCAGAGGTTGAAGAACCCGAACTAGACTATCCTATAGGTACCCCTGTAGGGTTCTATAAGGTCACTTAACCTCTGTAGGTGGAATTGGTAAAAACAACAAGTCAAACCAAGCTACAATATGCTTCGAAGCCTGTGCCTGTTGCTGAATGACATTGAAGCAAACCAGGGTTCATGATTTGGCATCTGCAGGCCTCTAGCCTCTAGCGAACAAAAACAACACCACTAACCCTAACTCCGCCACTCAAGCCCAATGAGCCCCTGGCATCACCATGTGCAACGATGTGTTCAGCTAAGGAGGGCGAGCACAACAATAAACACAGATTGCACCCCTCCCCACCAACACCATCCCCACGATTCCAATTGATTGAATGGTTCTTGCATGGCAACAACTGGACACTAAAGGGCTTTAGACTACTTGCAGGCAGGCCAGAACCATGGTCTTTTCCATTCTCTTTCCATGGTCCAACGGGTTATATAGCCACAGGCCGGGTAGTTTTCAGGATCTGCATGGCCCACGGCTTTCCAAGACACCACGATGTAAAGGATGGCATCGTACCTCAGGAGACCCCGAGAAAGGCGACGCCGGAGGCGACCCGCCTTCCTTTCCGGCGACCATCCCCAGCAGTCGGATGGAACTGGGCAGAGATGCGAGAAAAGAGAACCTATATTGCTTTTGTGGAAACCAATGTATGTATATATGTATATGTACATGTATATGTACGTATATGTACCAGCACCCGACTTCACAGGTCACCACCTGCGACTTTTAAGTTTCCCAAAGCCGCCATTTCGGAGACCTGTAGAGTTCGGGTGCTGGTATAAGATCTACCAGGACCCTCCTGTCGGGGTGCCCTGTCTGGAAGCCGAACGGCCGGTAGTGTGGGGTAGTCCAGCCAGGACACCCCGAAAACGGAGGGTCCAGGTATACATAAGCATACATACATGGTTTCCACAAAAGCCATATAGGGTGCTGGTATAAGATATATGTGTCATTTGTTCCTGTTTGTCAATCTTTGGACACATTATGACCAACGAAGGAACCTTGGAACGGTCGTCCTGTACCCGGCCGTCGTCTGCTTGTCTGGTCGTCTTGTCGGGTCGACCGGCTTGTTCGTCCAAGGGTAAGAGACCAAAGAGAAGGACTGATGGAAAGAATGTGGGAGTTGATAATTCTAAATATGGGGGCATGGGGTTTTGGAATATGGGAGTGTGGTTTAGCAATGTTTAAGTTTAAAAAATGTGGAGTGGAGTAGTGGCATTTAGAATATAAATTGTTGTGGTTCTTAGACATAGTCGATCACGGAGAGTGTTCTGATCAGCGACATGGAGTCCCAGGATCGTGGTTCCACTGAGTGAATGTCAGAGTCAGCCAAGGCATGAAAAATGGTCACCATCGCCGTGGTTTCAATGATTTATCTACTTGTCTGCCACCTGCTGGGGACGTTTCCAGGTTTCCAGCTACAGTACATACTAAGGCTGACAATGCTTGAAGGGGGAAAGGCAAAGGAAACAGGGCATGACATCGGCAAGGTTAGGCTGTTTATCCCGACAAAAGCGGAGTCTTTTAGGACGTCACCATCAGAATCCTTTCAGAATATACGGCTTCCACATGGTGATACCTCAAACCCCGTCTCTACAAATCCCATTCTTAGACTGTTTGCCAGTCCCTCGTTGGCCTCCATGTCCACGGCACGACCCAAACATGAAACTGGGATTTATACCTATGTACATTAACCCGTCAACCCAGCCTGATCGATCATTCTCCCACAGTGTGCCACATGTCTCAGGAACGCTGGGGTATATAGACCTCTTTCCCACAGACCCCTTTCTTCAAAAACACTCTAAAGTTTAGTAAAATGTTGGAGTGAATAGGCTGCGTGGGCAAGGGGTATACCAAGAGCATGCTCCCAAACACTCCTTGTACTGTTGTACTGGAAGTTATTGGAATATAATATTATAATGTATTAGAATCTATATGCCATACTATATGCAATATATATATATGACACCCCAAACCACCCCAATTTTCTACATCCCAGTGACCCCGGCAAGGAATCCACGGTAAAGCTTCCCATCGGAAGGTGATCTGCGATGAAGTTCAAGCGATCTCCTCAGCAGGACGTCAGAACTGATGGTCTGGGACCGCGATTTCCTTCAGGTCATTCGAATAAGCCCCGTGGAAGATGGCGAACATTGGTCTACCATCGTTATAGATTAATTATTTGTTTATTTAAACAAAACAACTTAATTAAGCGTATACCTAAGCAAAATCGGCGATGGTGAACCCGCCATGAGGGTTAGCCTAACCTGGTACTACCGTCAGCGTGAAATATAGGAAACCACAATCGAAACTCACTACTGGCGCAGCAAATTCCCTCTCTCCATGCATTCACATCCGCACCCTCCAAATGGTCCTGACCACGTCCAAGGAAGTGAGTTCCTTAAAGGATCCACAAATCCACCATCTTTATGAAGGTAATGTCATTTCGTCATGAGACACTCTGGATGATGTCGCCTTTTTTCAGGGTCCAGGATCCTACGGTGAAGGCAGCAAAGAGGGGCCCCTCTGTGGATCCAGATCGTGCTACCCAGGATCCCACTTGCAGTGGCTTTTCCAACTTGGCCTCATCGCACTCCTCGCGAGTCAGGAACAATGGCAGAACGGACATCGTACCATGACATCCTTCATAAGATTCATGGGGTGTCCATTTCTCAAAATCCCCGGAGAGTAGTGGGCTGGGGAACCAGCCAGGTGACCCCGAACTGAAGGTGACTGGATTGTCTCTCTTGTGCAAAAGTGAGGGGCGTGGGGATCAATTCTTCGATTGTTAGAGGCATGAAAGCCAAGTTCTCGGTCAGAGAGGGTCCATGCCAACGAGAGTGTATGACCTTGTATGACCTTGTGATGACCTTGTACAACACCATCCAACACCACATGACCCCATGAAACCTCCAACGTCCAGCACCAGGTTTGTGAGTTATAAAACATGATAATTAAACCCCATTAGATTGTTGTGAGAATGGATTCTGATGGGTCCCTGGGTGTTTTTGCTCCAAAATGACAAGCCGGATGACTGCTGACTGCTGACCATTGCGCTGACCACTGGCTCATCAGACTGGCTGCTTGGTGAAAGTTGATCAACCTACGCATTTGCTCCAACAGTCATCTCAACCCAAGAATCCGGAGGCCCAAAACACTGGGAGAGGGTGGCGGGCTCAAGAGTTCGGTTCCCCCCTGCCATACCCAGGGCCCCCAAGGATTCGAGAGAGTCAAGAACTTGTTGGCAGGTGTTTGATGTTTGAAGGTCCTTGTAGGCCAACGAGCTCTTCGTCAAGTTCTGCCCCGCTAGCTCCACTCGAAAGACCTGCACAGCTGTGGAGTCAGTTCGTGACACTGCCGACGCGAGCGCGTGGGGATCCCGTGAAAAAGCCACACGCCGCAACCCGTGACCTTCTTCAAGGCAATCAGGCAATGGGTATTCCACCAAGTGACCTCTCCCTCAAGGACGCAAGGTGGTACATCTTTGGCGAACGAGATGAGTTCATGGGCAAGATCCTTTAAACGCATCTACAACATTGTGGTCCACAAGAACAGTACGATGTCCAACATGTTGGATTCGAGAAAAGGACCATCTTCGCTTCTCAGGGGGCCCGACGTCTGATCACTGAAACTCGGACCCCTAATCTTGCCAGTCGGCTTCAGGGTATAGAAAACTTAGCTCCCAAAGCTCCACCCGAGCTCCCAACCCCCCCCCCGAGCTCCTAGCCGCTCCACCCGCCCCGCCTCAGTGCCGGGGTAGGCGTTGCACAAGCGCAGCTGGTGCTGGAACTCCACCGGCTTCAGGAAGCTGGATCGTTTGACCTGCCAACAGAGGTTAAGTGACCTGAACGAACGGACCCGGAAAACCAGGGGTACCCAACTAGGAGAGTCGAACGTTTGGGTTCTGACCCACCTCTGCTGGTGTCTCATGTGTCGATGTCTATTCCAGTTGTAGCCCGGGACTGAACTCCAGTCGAAGGCTCCTGAGGTGAGGGATCGGACTGGGCGCTAGGGAGCCTTGGAGGGTCCAGTCATACCTTCTGAACAGGTACGACTGGAGCCCTGAATTAGAATCTACAAACCAGAACTCATTGGTAGGGGCATCCCTATCAAAATACCTCTGTGGTCAAGATGTGGGTCGGTCATGGCACCTGCATCTTGCCTGTTGACCTCCCTGGTAGGTTGATCAACCAAATTACAGATCCTTGACCTTAGGGCTCCTGGCCCACCGGTGGTTGGGGTGGATGGTTGGAGCCCTAGATCATGGTTACGTGAGGTGAAAACCACCTGCTCAAGGTTCCTTACTGCTTGGCTATGAATCCCGATTGCAACCGTGGCCAACAATGGGACTGGTTTGCCTCGGCCACAGGCAGCACCTCTGAACCTTGATAAGCCTTTTGAGTATGCTGAGGCCCTCATTAAAGGACAAACACTTACCTCAACTGATTGGTAAGTATGGTGTAAACGATATCCCAATGTAGGTCAATATCTAAACCACTTTTCAAGCACCCCAATCTGCTTGGCCCTATCTATACCTTTCATTGCCTGCTTCTCCCTCTTTTCTGCCTTCACCAGCTCCTGGGGTACAAAAACGCCTTCGCCCACCGGGGCCAACCTCCACGTGCGCGCCGGCCACGAGGTCGGCGAGGCCCAGGAGGAGTGCGGAGGACACGAGGTGCATGGCGCCGTCTGCGGCGGCTTCGGCCCGTCGCGGAGTTCGGACGCGAGCATACGCGGGCGAAGGTGGACCGACCAGTGGTCGAACAGCTGAGAAATGTGGGGTGAAGCAAAAAGACATATACACCAATTCTAGATCCAATAGGGTGGCTGGGTCAAGGTTTCCCCCCAACCACCCCATGTAACAAGCAATTCTGAATGGATCTCCAACATCTGCAACAACCAATCCAAAGACAAGCCAAGTCGGACGGACAGGCAACTGCCAAACACCGCCACCTGGAGGTGGTTCCAAATCAGATCGTTCCAGCCTGGAAGCCTGAAACCAATTGATACCCTATGAAGTGGACTGCTCTACTGGAGCAAGCGGGACTGCTCAAGGTCAGGAAACCCATCAAACTGGAACCCCTAAATTGGTTGATGGATCGACTGGATTTGAAGCATTGATTCAACCACCATCTCGCTCAACTCTTGGCTTCGAAGGCCAGCGGCATTGCTTGAGAATCGAGGTTGCGGGGGTGTGGTGAGGCATGGTGATCGGGCTGGGGTGGCCATGTTGCCCAAGCAGTGGTGAGTGGAACATAGAACACGTCAAAGTGCACTGGACTCACTAACATGGAAGTGAACCCACATGGAACCCGGACTGGAAGACGATTAGTGCTCTATGACCTGGTGGTTTTCAGATTCCATGTGGGCCTCTTCCAGTGCAGAAAAGCACTCTCCCGGAACGAACATTCCGACATCCACCGCGCCTGGGACTTCGTTGATGCGTTGGCGTTTGAGCCGCCACAGGCTTGGGCCGGTCAGGCTCTTGCCAAGACTCGAGGTTAGTAAAACAAGCAATTCTTGTAAGGGCGGGGGACCCCAACAAATGTTGTTCCAATATGGCAGGGACCAATTGTCAAATAGAAATTGTCCGCTTAGAAGCCCCGGAATCAATGCGCACCAAGGCAACCCATGTTGGGGCTTGATAGGCAGGTGCTTTGTTTGCTTTGGGAACGGTGTTTTTCAACCGGTTAAGGCTTAAGGTGCATACTGCATACTGCCAACCTGTTTTTTAATTGAATAGACTAGGGGGCCAAGCTCAATCCGCCGGTAAACCCTTCAGAATGGGCCGGGCTAATATGTTAGCAATTAGCATTGACATGTTTACACCTTGGGTGGATTTCCACGACTGGATAGGAAAGGCACTGAGTATGTCCTCCAGCGACAAGCCGCTTGGTTTCTTGGCTGTTGCAAAAAGCGCACATTCAACATGTGAAACATCCGGGGGTGCATTCCACCACTGCCAATGAAACCAAATCAAGTACCCGGCTGAGGAGATGACGGCAACAAACCCATGCTTTCTGTCTGGCCATCCATGCTATTTACCATATTTACCCAAACACTCCATGTGTGACTGGTATGGGATATTATAGATATCTATGCCCCCATTGGGGTCGTTTCACTGGTCAACCTGATCTATAGGTATATATATAATTCTATACACGGAGTCTCTGGGTTAAACCCAAACACTCCATGGGAACTGGAAGATGTGCCGGCTGCCCCATTGATCTGGATGTCTTCTTTCAGGCCAACCGACTTGCCATGCGTCGACCAGCCGTCTGCATGTTTCATCATTTTCAAACAACCCTGAGAACCAGTGCAAGATTCAAATACACCTTGTTTCTTCGTTCACCCAAGGAACAGTTCCTGCCCAGCTGCTGTTCAAAGTTCGTCAAGTGCAAACACCGGGCGGGTAGTTCAGTTCGTTGAAGCGATGTCCCTCCGGAACCTTGACAGTTGGGTCCCCAAACCCAAAAGCCATAAAGAAAGACCGTCAGCAAGGCTTCCTCCAAGTCCTCTTGCGACAAACCTCAGCCACGTGTGCTTCATCAAAACAAGGCAACCACTGAGTAAACCGATGTGCTAACTACAAAACCTGGGGTACCATCCTCCGGTTCGTCTCCAATCCTGTTCTCAAACAACCCTGTTTCATCCGAAATACTTATCTCACTTTGACTTGGCCGCTGGGGCAAACACACACAAACAAAAACACACGCATGTTTCGACTGAACCGTTCCCTTGTGAAGTCTGACCGATCCAAAACGGCGGGAAACATCGGAAACTTCCAATCAAGTGCGGTGCTATTCGTGGCACTCTACATTTTGATGGGCCAGTGCTCCCTTTGATAAACACAGTATCCAAAACAGGCACCCATAAGGTATCCCAAGGTTCTGAAGCTAAAGCGGCTAGAATTTTCGACATGACTTTTGTAGCTTTCCGGTGTTGAGAAACTCCCTGTAGTTCCTTGGTTCCCTGCTTGGTGGAGAAGAGTCATACCCCCCGGCGACCCTCATCACCGCTCCCTCATCGACCGCCAAAGCGAACCGTCTTCCGTATTCCTTGACGGACTCCTGAAGGAACCTTCAGAAGCTGCACTTTGCCGCCCAAAGCACTAAAGGCCAAGGTGTCCAAGGCCTGAATCAAAGATGAACAGGATCCATCCCTAGGGTTCCAACTGCCTCCTGGGAAGGTGGTTGCTGTGGGTGCCAGCGGGGGTCTAACCACCGAACCTGCGGATATGGTTGGAGCGCTATAGGGCATGTTTTCCCGAGAAACGCGTCTGGTTAAAAGACCCGAGGACTGGTGACTAGTGGTACATACACATAGGAAAGGCATCCAGGCTTTTGGGGAGTCAGTTCAACACTCTTGTGGGACACTCTCGTGGGACACTCTTGTGGGACACTCTTGCGGGACTCCCTTGTAGGAAACTCTTGTAGGACACTCTTGTCGGACACTCTAATGGGACACTCTCGTGGGACACTCTTGCGGGACACTCTTGTAGGACACTCTTGTAGGACATTCTTGCGGGACACTCTTGTATGCATGGCATTCTTGTGGGACACACAGACTCTTGCGGGCTATATTGGGCTGTCTTGATGGCTATGTTGGGGTGTCTTGGGACTATGTTGAGCTGTCTTGGAGCTATGTTGGGCTGTCTTGGGGCTATGTCGTCTCCATTACAAAATGTAAGTTACATTTTTTGGGGGGGGGGGGGTGGGGGGCAAAAATGTAACGTGTATTTTGGGTCCCTCCCGTTTTCCTGGTTAAAGGGGTCGCGTTTATATAATATATATATATAGTGGCATTCAGAATTCTTCCCATCTCCAAAACAGGTGACCTGCAGGTGATCCACTCCCCAGTTGCTGAAACAGGGGTCAATGTACATGGAGTGAAAAGGTGGGAAGGTGCCTTTTCCTGTCAACACACCCTCACACCCTCACATCGATTGGTGTCAACAAGAAGTGAGATCCTTCCATATCCTTCCCAACCTTCTCAGAAACACAGAAGTGCGAAGTCTTCAAACTTCTAGCGGTCTTTGGGATGTTTGGCCATGGATCCTGCTAGACCGGTGGGTCGAAGCTCGTCTGACGCATCACTATCAGCCGATAGAGCCAGCACCGCCCAGGAACGACAGAAACACAGGTCAAATGGTCGGAATGGCACTCCAATGGCCTGTCTTTGACATGTCCTCTGGCTGAATTATAGTATTTCATAGGTCGTTGGGTCGTAATTCGCTATTTCAAAATTGAAATGAGGATTAGGTCGTTGAAATACTAAAATATTGGGTGAGGTCGGGGTTGGTGCGCGCGATGCGGCGCGGCGGGGCTGAACAGCGGCGGCAGCTGGCAGCCTGGCAAGACCAAGAAACAAACAAAGTGAAGTGCAAATCGCTGGACCTCTGCTTCTTCTCTTCTTCTTCTTCTTTTTGCTTCTTTTGCTGCTTCCTTCAAAGTAAAAACACCTTCAGAGCGATTTAGATCGAAGCAAAGCGATCCAGGTTGATTGGGGAAACAAAAGCTCCAAATTTGATCGCAATTTGGAGCCTTTCAATTGGGGTGCAAAAGCTCCAAATTGGATCGAAATTTGGAGCTTTTTCAGTGGTGGTCGATCGAAATTTGACTGTGTGAAACTTCGTTGCTGTGCAGTCTGTCTGCAGGGAACCTTTTTTGGTCGGCAGTGATTGTGCCCCACTGAAAAGAAACAAGAGATGTTCCCGGCTCGCCCACGCGCGCCCTGAGCCCAGTTGAGCGGACGGCCCTATCTGCTGCAGATAGGCGGGTTCCAACTTACTGGAGTGGATGGGGTTGCCACTTTTTCCCCAAATAGTGCTCCGCACTAAGGGGTTCTTACGGTAAGAGTTAAGCGGGTTTAGATCAGGGTTCGCGCGTGTGGTTTCGGCATTTTGCGTGGGCCGGCTCGCACAAAAGTTACTTTTTGAATTCCTCATGTCCATTTCGACTGCGCAGGCTCGCATAAAGTGCTGGCCGCGCCTTTCGCGCTTCCGGGACAAAGCTCTCGTGCAGGTGCCGTGCTCGTTTTCGGACACGAAGTGCATTTTGCGTGGCAGGCGCAAGTTGGAGCCTCGAAAAGGTCATTTTACGTGGCAGGTGCAAGGAATCGGGGACTTTGTAAATTTCGTGGCAGGCGCAGTGTTTTGTGGACGTTGCAAAAACGTTGGCAGGCGTGTGTCATTCGCAGGATTGCGTTTCACGTGGCAGGCGCAGGGAATCCGCGCCATGGATGCGATATTTTGAGGTGAAACGGCTGAATTCGTGAGAGGGGTCGCATTTTTGGAAATTGAACTTGAGGATGCTTTTGCGTGGCCAGTGCAGCATTTCGTATGACCTGCAGGCATGATTTCGTCGCAGGCGCAGCATTTCTGAAACGCATTTCAAAATTTGCGAAAGCCTCGTGCAATTTGCTCATTTTGGATCTCCGATGTGCAGATTTCGTGGCAGGCGCAGCACTTTGTGAATCTGGATGTGCAGATTTCGTGGCAGGCGCAGCACTTTGTGAATCTCGATGTGCAGATTGCGTGGCAGGCGCAGCACTTTGTGAATCTCGATGCGCAGATTTCGTTGCAGGCGCAGCACTTCGTGAATCTCGATGCGCAGATTTCGTGGCAGGCGCAGCACTTTGTGAATCTCGATGCGCAGATTTCGTGGCAGGCGCAGCACTTCGTGAATCTCGATGTGCAGATTTCGTGGCAGGCGCAGCACTTTGTGAAGCTCGATGCGCAGATTTCGTGGCAGGCGCAGCACTTTGTGAATCTCGATGTGCAGATTTCGTGGCAGTCGCAGCACTGTGTGAATCTAGATGTGCAGATTTCGTGGCAGGCGCAGCACTTGCTGAGTCTGGAAGTGGAGATTTCGTGGCAGGTGCAGCACTTCGTGAATCTCGATGCGTAGATTTCGTAGCAGGCACAGCACTTTGTGAATCTCAATGTGCAGATTTCGTGGCAGGCGCAGTACTTTGTGAACCTCCATGTGCAGATTTCGTAGCAGGCGCGGTACATTGTGAACTTTGAAATGCTCCTATGTATTCGCCTATGTGCTCTCAGATTTGTGCTTGTATGTGCTCTCACATTTGTGCTCTCAGATGTGTGCTCTCATGTGCTCTCATATGTGCTCCCATATGCTCTCATATGTGTGCTCTCATTTGTGCTCGTGAATCTGCACTCTCACATTTGCGCTCTCGTATGTATCCTCTCATATTTGTGCTCTCATCTGTGTGCTCCTTCTTTCCTTCCACGTGATGCCATGTTCCATCTGTTCCTCTTTACACTATTTGGGGTCCCTTGCCGGTGTAATTTTTTTGGTCCCCCCGGCTGGCAGGATGCGAGGAACCGTTTTTGCGGTCGGGCCGGTGAGACGAGCAGCGGCACGGGCGCGGCCTTACAGGCGCGGTCCCAGGCGGCTGGGGTGCGCGCCCTCGCCAGGGGGGACAACGAGGTCGCTGAGGAGCGGAACCTCGCCGTCCACGTTCGCCCCGGGCCCAGCAGGGAGGGTCAGGAGCGAAGCCGTGAAGGCGCGCTGGGCCGCGAAGGCGAGGAGCCCGCACCAACGCCGTCCCCGACGAAGGGTCGGGAAGGCGGCGGGTAGGAGCGCGCCTTGGCGCGCGCCAGAAGGCGGACAAAGGTGGCCGCCTCGGAGCTCCAGCGGCCACCA